ACCCTGCTGACGAACTTCAAGGTCGGCGACTACGTCGACGTCGTGGCGGACTCCGCCGTGCGGGCCGGGATGCCGCATAAGTACTACCACGGCCGCACGGGCATTGTCTGGAACGTCACCCCTCGTGGCGTTGGCGTGATTGTCAACAAGCCAGTCCGAAACCGCACGATTCGCAAGCGCATCTGCGTGCGCTTTGAGCACGTGCGCAAGTCGCGCTGCCAGGAGGCCTTCAAGCAGAAGCAGAAGGACTTTGTGGCCTTCCAGGCAGCGAAGAAGGCTGGCAAGCCGCTCCCTCCCCCGAAGAAGAGCTCCCGCAACGGCGGCATTGTTCGCCCGAAGAATGTGGAGGTGCTGGCCCGCCGCACTGCCGATTACGAGGCCATGATTCCGTACTAAATGGGAACCATCCATCGCCAAGGCTGTCGTTATTTATTTGATATTTTTGATGCTCTTTGACTTTTGAAGCCCAAGGACGCTTCTCGTTGGTTGTTGTTTTTTCCCGCCCCAGTACGACTCTCATAGCCTTCTCGGTGGCTGTGTTGCCGCCGTCTCACCCCGTACAACCCATTTCTACACATTTTTTGATTTTCCCTCTGCTGTTCTTTTTTTTTTTCTTCTTTATGCATAGGCAGAATTGATAATAGTTCAGACAATGGGCAGGAGGCAGGTGCGCCAGTTTCTTTTCTGCTGATGTTCTGCTCACCGCATCAAGACTTTTGTCGTTGGTTTTTGCACAGCCTCCGCTGTTCAGGACGATCACGTTTTCTGGAGCCACGTGACTATGTTAGCTTTGATAGCTTTGCTGGACATCTGTTTACATAGACACCGCAACATGAGAGCAGCTGGAGCGAGACACTGAAAAATTCTTGTCAAGCTTTATTGTAGTGAAGCGTTGCGTGTATGCTAACAGCTTTCTTTCTTTGTCTCTCTGTGTGTATCTTTCTTTTGCCACGGCCGTTTAAGGACTTGTTTATTGGTGCTTCCTGCTCTCCCTCTTTGTCTGAATATTGGCTTGCAATGTGGCTGTATGCCTGTGTATGGATACACTTACCGTGGTTGTTAATACGTTCCTTTTTGTGGTGTTGGTGATGGGAGAAACGGACTGTTTTGCCCGCAGTGTTGGGGCGACGTGCTGAGTTGGTGTCCTCTGTGTCTACTCTTGTTGTGTTTTGTGTGCCAAGGCTATTAACTTCTGCGGCAATGCCACGATTAAAGCAACTTGTGAAGCCAGTTTTACTTTCCTTCACTAAGCTCAATACGTTTTTTTTTCTTTTTCGTTCACACCTCTCTGAGGAAGGAAAACGGGGTGAAATCACTAGATGAGTATTCCAACATCCATCCATGCCGCGCGGGAGTTGATCCGGGTGAAGGCATCTGGCAATGAGTTTGTTCTGCTTGTTCATGGGGCAACCAATTGGGAACCGTGGGGGCCAACAGGCACACAGATGGATGAAGTCTCTCGCGCGTTTTCCCGCGGGTCAGTTGACATTATGGAGGAGATTAAGCTGCGCCTGAAGAACCGCGATAAGTCTTGGCGACCTTGTTACAAAAGCCTACTGCTTTTGGACCATCTTGCTCGCAACGTGCCGGAGTCAGGATTGCCAGCAGTTTGTTCGGTAATTCCCACGCTTCGCACCATATCTCAGTCATTTTACTACACAGGTAGCAAAGGGACAGACCACGGGTTGTCAGTGAGGGAGCGGGCAAAGAAGTTGTGTGACCTCCTCAGCGACAGTGCGTTACTCCGTGAAGAGCGCGAGAAGGCGGCATTGACACGCTTCAAACTCTCTGGTGCGTCCGGCAGTGGCGGTAGTGACCATACAGCCTCTCGCTATCAGGGCTATTCACGCAGCACGCTGCCGTCATCGGATTCCCTACCTCATGAGTACGAACTTCACACCCATGCAACCCGCACGAAGGAAGAACAAGAGCGGTATGATATGGAACTTGCCGCTCGACTGCAGCGCGAAGAAGAAATGCGTGCTGGCATGTCTGCTGCGGATGTGGAACGAATGTTCCACCGACATCTCCCTCGGCAACCTGCATCCGTGGCGCAGGCTGCTCGCAATTCTGACCTTGAGGTCGCGCGCCGTCTTCAGGAGGAGGAGGAGCAGAAGCGTCAAGCGCGTCGTACCAGTGAGACGTTGCCACCTGCACAGGGTACATCAACGGGAACGCCAGCAAAGCCTCCGTCACCCAAGACCGTGGCACCTGCTCCCAAACCGGAACCTGAGCCCCCAAAGAAAGACCTCCTGGATGATTTATTTGCCCCGGCACCTGTTATGACGACTACCACGTCTGCCCAACAGCCCACTTGGACGAACGGTGCACCAATTCAGCAGCAAACATTAGCTTCTGTTGATCCTTTTGATGCATTCCTGGACACGCGCATTCAGCAACAGCAACAACAACAACAAATGACATATGGTGCCTTTTCACCGTCGACGGTTCCGCCACAACAGCATACTGGCATGATGGAGGGCGGCGGTACCGGCGGATGGAGTGGTGTGACACAACCATCGATGATGATGCCGGCCTACGAACGCGGGGCTGACTGGTCGACTGCCCCCTCCACACAGCCCTCATATGGAGGGATGCCAGCTCAAGCTTCGTGGGGTGTGCCGTCTTCAGCAGGCAATGCTCATGCTTCGGCTGGGATGCAGGGGACACCATTTGCTGCCAATGGAAATGCCAACATGCAAGGATGGGCCCCTTTTACAAGCGCAAGTCCGGGTGGGAATAACACCAGCTTGATGGAAGAACAAATGGCGCACTTTGCTGGGCAAGCGAGTGCTCGCCCTCAACAACCGGCGAAGTCGTTGGATGCCCTTATGGCAGAGCGCCGAGGGATGGATTAATGCCCCGTCAATTGATCTTTGCTTCCGAACGAGAGTGTGCAGGCAATTTACTGTGGGAGGTACTGTACTTCTGTATGTTGCGTTTTACGCTGAGGTTCAGAACTTGCTTGGACCACACCGAGAACAAAAGAAAAAAAGAAAGAAAAAAAAAGAGTTTTGTGCGTTTCCTTTCAAGTCAAATATGTCTACGCATAGCCAAGAAAAAGAAACTGATTAGGAGAAAAAGTTAACAGAAACGGTGAAGTAGATAATGAGTGGACTGTTCTCTTTTCATTTTTTTTTTTTGCTTTGTATATTTGTTGGCTTGTGGGTTGCATGGGAGGGATAGGAGTGTGTCTCTATTCCGTTACTGTTTGTCTGGTTGGTGTTGGGTGCTCTTGGAAGCCCTTTCCGGGCGTGTTAGAACTTTTTTATTTCTGCATGGTGGTCAGAGAGTAGTATAGGGAATAGAAGAAAACGACAAGAAGATGTCGGTACATAGGAAAAACAGAATAGCAACTCATGCTGCGTCGGACTTCCATTGTGAGAGATCATGCTACCTCAAACCTTTTCGCTCCGCCTTTCTCCGGCCGCTGGTTTAACCCTCCCTATCAATGGACAATGACAGACACGTTTGTGCCGTTTTTCTTTCTTTGCTCAGCTCCTATGGGAATTTGTATCTATCTTTATCATGCAGCATACATGCCACATTACTCGAACTTTCAATACCAGAACTACTATGCTTCGCAGGTGTACACGAAAGACTTTATTCATAAGTACAAGCGACTAGAACGTTGGAGATGGTACTAATAGGAGAGTGAAAAGTGCATTTTTTTGTTTTTGTTTCTCCAGATTACATGCTTACTACTATTTTTGGTCTTTGCTTTGCTATATGCATGCATGGATGAAGTTGGACAGCACGGGACGGGATGGGGCGGGCTTTGCTGTGAGTGGGAACGATTTGGGAAGCTTTGCGCTGACCAATTCTTTTTTTTTTTTTTGTAAGTGGGCAGTGATATATATATATAGTGCACTGTGTGTAGCACCGAGTATTTACTCTGTTTTTCTCCATGAAGGATCAATGGGAGGTGTTCGGGATCTTGCCTTGCTTCATGACCCGACTGTTTTACTCTGTATGCTGGAAAGCATGGGGGTTATGTTCTTTGTGTTCTCCTGTCTTTTTGTTTACTTCTTTTTTTTTTTTGCAGTGTACATGAACCTCTAGCTCAGTTTTTGTTGCCCTAAAGTGAATTTTTTTTTTTTTACGTCTTAGGTATCGTTGCGTTGCCATGGCGAGATGAGACCCGCCAATACCTGGCCTTGCATAGAGTAGGGCCTGGAGTTGTAGCTTCTGCTTATGCCAGGCCTTGCTACCTTCTGCTCGGCATATTTCTTTTAATAAAGACCAACAGTGGCGGTGGTGATTGTGCGGTTGCTGCATGGACTTTACGACGGTGGCTTGGCTGCCTTGCACCAGAGCAGCCATGCGGTGGAGGTGCGTTGTGGTGAAGAAGAGAGGTAAATAAAAATTAAATTAGGACGCTTCATTGGTGTACAATCAACAAGTCGGGCCCGATTGCTTTTTAATTGTTTTTTTTTATTATATGTGTTTTTTTTCACTGTGTGGGTGTGTGGGTATGGGTGCTTGCGTCTCTCCTTATGAATATGCATTTGCTTCCGTCACATGCGCTGTGTGCTCGCCCTCCCTTCGCATTTGTCTTCGTCCATCGAATTGTGAAGCCATGTCGGGACCGGTTGTGGACGCGGAGGTCGCACTTGCCCGGTGCATTGAGGCAATGCACACTACGCTACTGGCCTCAGTGACGGACGCCCTCCCGCAGTCCACAGAGTCAATGGAGGCATCAGACGCGGGGGTGGGAGTTGTCGACACCGTGGCGCAGCGCTTGGAATGGGAGATGGGAGTTGAACGTCAACGCATTGACAAGTTGGTGGGTGGACTCGAGCAACACTTCGCGGCTTTGGAGCGTGCGGTGTCGTCTCTGCCGGATATTCCTGCAGACTCAATTGATCGGGACATTGAGAGATTGAACACGGAGGCTGCATCTCTTGCACAGACGATGATGGCTGCGTACGACGAGGCGGAGGCGCTTGCGGCGCAGCTGGAGCATGAAATCAACTCCCAACCGGTGCCTTCCATTTGAGAGTTTGCTTCTCTGGCGCGCGTTGCTCAAACATACACCATGCGTGTCTGTGTAAGAGAGAGTGATGCTGAAAACGAAACGACGACAATGGAGATAACGCAAGGCACCACAGATCAGTTTGAAAGGTTGAAGGGAGCATTGTTTGAAAGCGTGTTTAAACCACCACTTGAAACTGCGTCGTGAGATGTGCATCTTCGTGTCTTTCTCGTTTTCTTTTCCTTGTACTGTTGATACATCTTCTTGGCAAAAAGGTAGCGGGCGGGATGCGCGTTGCCGCAGTGCTTCGGCGCGGCAACGCGGATATGGCGCCATGGATGGGTCTCAGCTTCTACCCCGTGTCGCCCAATTTTGTGGGCGGTGTTCCAACCGTCAAATCGGCGTATGATCACTACAAGTTGATCCGACCACAGCGACCACTTAGGGCAATTGGCATCACAGGCTCGCTTCCGCCGGTGCTGCATAATCGAATGGAACAACTGGTGCAGCTTGAGAACGTTATCGCGTTGCAACGCGTGCAATGACAGGTGAAGATGACGCTTTCGCAACTTTCTCTCGGGGATTCGAAATGCAAAGGATTTCTTAGAGAAACACCTTCTTAATGCCACAGTTCGACCCTCGCTTCACACATTGTGGCCTTCACGAAGAAGGCCTTCGGCGCCATCAGCATGTTCTCCCCACACTTGGTGCATATCACCTCGTTCCACTGTTTAGTGTTTTGGCTTACGACGTTGAATGCGGCGGGATGTCGGTCTACGAGGCAGTTGAACTTTACGAGGAACTGATGGACTTCTCTGTCGCCCAGCCCAAGGTTGTGCATAGGGAGCTGACGAATCAGATGGTGCGGTGTTACTGTTTGAATGAGGAGTACGAGAAGGCATTGGGTGTGGTGTTAGAGGTGAAGGCGAAAGAAATTCGCAGGACGTTTGTGACGTACGCTCCACTTTTTCGTATAATTCGAGCCAGCGAGGATGCCGAGAGGCAGCTGACGCTTTTGAAGTTTGTGTACGACGTGGAGGGCGGACGGCTGCTAAAGTTATTGTACATTGATATTCCTCGGATGCTCTATATGTTTGGTGTATTTGTTTGCTACAACTGGGTTTTCATTAGCTGCATCTTCACTGTCGTATGCACCATTGTCGTCCTGTACGTGGCAAATTTTGGATTGTGAGGCCCCAAATTTAAGTGTGTGGTATGGTGTGGTCGTGAGGCTTGCTCTTCCCTCCCAATTCCCTACTATCAGTGTTTTACACCACCCCCCATTGTGCCCGGCGAGGTTGGCCTCGTTCACGCTGCGGAATGCGTCTGCACACACGGCGCATGGAAGAGTCAGGCATGTGTGTATGTGTGAGTCTGTGTGTGTGTATCGTTGCTCTCCAAATACACCACCTCACCTGCCCGCTTCAGGCTTGCCGCCGTCGCTGCTGCTGTTTACTTTTGCATCGGCGTGTGGTGTCGTAGTCCTTGTGTTCTTTTTTGTTTTTGTTTTCTTTGCCTTTCAAATGAAATGCTACCACTGTCGCTGCAACGAAACACGAGGAAAGTACAAGAAAAAGAGGAACTCACCTTTCTCTTGCGGTTGCCTGCAGTTGTGGTTTGACGATCATGTCGACAAAGTCCTCGCTGCGCAGTTCCCGCTCGCACGCCTCGTCGGTGGGTGAAAACTACACGTCGACGCAGAGCTGCGTGTCCAGTCGACACCGCCGTCAGCAGCAAAAAGGGGATCCTCCGCTGCCACCGGCAATGATGACATCATTGGAACGCCTTCAGCTCATCCGTAATGCCTTGACACGCTTGCAATATGTCGGGGAGCGGCAGTTGCACAGCGCTATGCTTGACAACGCCGCTGGTGAGGAGGTACTCGGTTTTTTTGACAAGCTACGTGAGCGACTGCCGAAGCTTGAGTATAACCCGCGGAAGCTTGGGACTCCAGACGGAGGTGGTCCCAAGCAGCTCCACTACATGCGAGAGCAGGTGCTCCGTCTGAAGGACGCAGCCACGGCTGTGATTAGCACCTGCGAGGCTCAAAGGGGAAAATGTGATGCCGTGTATGAGGGATTGTCGTATAACCACCTACGGGAGGTCTTGCGGGAGCTGGAGGAGGTTCAGCACCTCCTGAGCCACGCGCCGTCTGAGCTGCCAAGTCGCGTCAACACGGACCTGTTGGCGGACCTGGTGTCATTTCACATCACAGATTTTGATGCCTTTGCGGAGCAGCGGGTGGAGGCCTTTGTCTGCGAGGCAAAAAATGAGGGGGCCCTTTTCACTGCTGTCGTGAATGAAGTGGCGCAGCGTGCGCCTTCACCCATGGGGCTTGTTTCCGTCTTTATTTTGGACGTAGCCATCGGTGTAAGACCTGGCCGCTGTGCCCGCATTGTCATTGACCATGCACAACATAATCTTACGAAGCTCGACAATCGCCTGCACACCGCTGACGCGGTCCTCGCTGTAATGACTCCAGAGGAAGACGTGCCGGTGGAGGTGCAGCGCAGAGAACTGTCTATTTTGAAGGATCGTGTGAAGGGGGCTTTGGCGGAGTTGCTTCGCTTAAAGAAAAAGTGGGAAGAGGAGGAACTGAGCACGCTGGACCGGGCTGCCTCGGGACAGCACTTGCTTTCATCCCTGGTGGAGATGAAGCGACTGAAGGAGGCGGAAATCATCGAGGAGGCGCAACAAGTTCATGATCGGGCGGTGCATGCGTGTCTTGCCTGCGCCACACCGCAGTACTATCGTTGCCACAGCGAGACCTACGCCCAGCCGTGCCACGTGCGGCTTGGTTTTAAGTTTTTGCAGGGCGGCCAAGCAGGGTCGCAAGCAAAGTCTGTGACACTTTACACGTTGATGCCGGAATTTCTCTTGTTGATGCGGCAGCACAACATTCCTATGTCGGAGCACGAGCGTTACGCGGCGTTGGTGCCGAGTAAGGATCACGTGTGGATATCCTTCTCTGAATTTCCGGAGATGGTGCGAGGTGCCCGCTGCAGCCTGCGTGGAGTTGACACTCGACATGATCACTTTCGTGCACTTGAGGAACAAAAAGAGGTGGGAGGATATTTTATAATGCGCGGTGGGGAGCGCATTTTGCGTGCTCTGTTGATGCAGAGGTGCAATGTCCCCCTCAACATCTACCGCGAAAGGTTTTCGTCGCAAGGCCCATTTTTTTCTCCAAAGGCAGTGGTTATTCGCTGCAAACGGCCCAGTGGTTTGACAATTCAGAACTATTTTTACTACATTACAACCGGTGAGGTCGTTTTCAGTTTTGCGCGTAAAGTGGTTTGGCATATTCCTGTCCCGCTATTGCTATTTGCGTTGAACACCCGACACTGTTCCTCACTGGAGATATACAAGCTACTCACGATTGGCTTTACCAACAGCAGCGGTGCCCACATGGCTCGCGTTGAGGCACTTCTGCAGCATCACCACCAAAAGCCATACGGATCTCTGGTACATTTTTTGGACTACATTGCAGTACTGGGAAGAATGTACCGGAGTTACCACGAAACCTCCAACACCTTTCATTTCCTGCCACAGTTTCATGCGACGTACCAGGGCCAGCATGACGCTTGGTATGGTCTGTTTATGCTTCGCCGTCATGTCTTACCTCACCTGAACTTCGATGAACCAACACCTGATTTGCCGCCCACCGCCACTCTGGAGGATTGCGCAAGCTGGCTTTCCCCTAAACTCCTTCAAGAGTTAGATGCCAAACTGGATACCATGATTGCCATTCTGCGACAGCTGTACGACTTTTTTGATGGCAACACAGAACATCAGGGCAATGACGTACCCTCCTACCAGGAGATATTTACTGTCTCGCAGGTTCTCATGGGCGGGTTCGAGGTTTGCCTCAACAAGTACATGAAAAGTTTTGTGTATCGTATGGGGAGCCACATCCCCTCCACTCTCTTTCAATCTATTATGCAATTGGGCGAGTTGTCGGGAAAGGAGTTGGGTGGGGTTATTAATCAGCTGCGGCAGTACACAGAGTACAGTGAGCGACGCAACATAAGTGAACCGCTGGATGCGTTGCACCGTCTACTAATTACCGGGAACCTGACACTGGATCGTGAGGAGGATTTTTATTGTCCTCAAACCTCTGGGTGGGTTGTGATGGCAGAACATCTAAACTTCTACCGTTTTTTTGAGCAGCTGCGGTGTTTACATCGAGGTAAGACCATTGCCGAGATGCGTTCCAGTGAGGTGCGTAAATACCCCTGCGAGGCATTTGGGTTTATCTGCATGGTACATAGCCCTGATGGGGCGGATTGTGGTGTCTTGAATCATATGAGCATTAGCACAATTGTTTCCAACACTCTTCCTGTGGGTTCTCGACAGGAGGGAGAGTTGTTGGCGTGCATCAGAGAAGAAATTTCCGGCCTTCGCAACAGTAGTTCGTTGGATTCTCTTGTAGATCGTCTAGTGGGCACAGTTCCTGTCTGGTTGGAGGGGAGAATTTTGGGGTACCTGACGCAGGAGGAGGCACAGCGGGTGAGGAAGGCGCTGCTTCGAAAGAAGGCTTTGAGAAATTGTGGTAGCATGGAACTAAGTGGTATGGTGCGCCGCCGAAACGTGAATGCCCTTAACGCAATCGAGGTTGTGTTTGTCCCACCAGGCAATAAGGATCCCCAGGGGTTGTACATATTTTATGACAATGGCCGAATGATGCGTCCTGTGCAGCAGCTCGAGTCCACTTCCAGCGGCAACGATTTACCCTTTCCCCTGGTGTACGTTGGAACCTGGGAGCAGACGTGGCTTGACATCGCCAGCGTCCCCTCCGACCTCGTGGACGGTGTCACGCAGTTGAACAGCAAATATGAATTTATGGAACAGAATGGGAGTAACATTCTCAGCTTAACCGCGACGACGATTCCATTTTTTGAACATAATTGCTCGCCGCGAAACCTTTTTCAGTGTGGTTTGTCTAAGCAGTCCGCCGGAACTCAACTGCAGGCATTAGCATGGCGTAAGGAGGCAAAGCTCTTTCGTATGTACTCTCCACAACGCTACATTAGCCGAACCCTACCGATGGATTATTACAGCCTAGACGATGTGAATTTAGGCGTGAATGCCGTGATTGCTATTTTGGCCTATACCGGCTATGACTTGGATGACGCTGTCATTGTAAACAGCACTGCCTCCCAGTTTGGTATGCTTAACGCCGGCATTACGGTGGCTAAAGTGATCACAGCCACCGGAAAGGGGGATAAGGAGGATGTCTTTGTCTTTCAGAACCTTTTGTCAAATGGGCAGCCCTTCACCCCAGAGCTAGACGCTCATGGATTGCCAAAAAAGCGTGCGATACCTGGTACAACGGAGTGGCTCTCCTTTGACTCGGATCACAAGTACCCCAGCCTGCGAGACAACAGTGCGGTGTATTGCTGCGCCAAACGCTATGAACGCGTGGATCCTCTCATGAATAAGAAGGTGTACGAGTACACCCGTCACCACGTTACAAAGTGGCGGCAGTTTGATAAAGGGGAAAATGGCTGGGTTCACAGTGTTATTCCTCTCACCTATGACGGGCCCGACCCTACCAGCGCGCTTGTTGTGTTTCGTATTCCTCGTCCACCCGCCATTGGTGACAAATTCTCCTCTCGCCACGGGCAGAAGGGGACGCTTCCACTGCACATTCGAGCTCATGATTTGCCGTTCAGTACACGCGGCGGTATTACGCCAGATATCATTATTAATCCACATGCTTTTCCATCGCGTATGACGGTGGGAATGGTGCTGGAAATGATGGGTGCGAAGCTAGGCGCCATCCAGGGCCGCTTTTGCGACCACAGCGCATGGAGCGTCGTGGACGAGCGACCACGCTTTGCGGAGGTTATTGGGGATTCCTTGCAAAAGGCTGGCTACAACCGTTACGGGCGTGAAAGACTCATTGATGGCATTAGTGGAGAGGAGATGGAGGCGGATGTGTTTATGGGCATCTCCGGGTATCAGAGACTTCGACACATGGTGAACGACAAATGGCAGGCGCGCGCTCGCACAGACGCCCACACGCACCGCGCCGTCACAAAGACGGGTCAGCCGGTCAAGGGCCGCAAACGGCACGGTGGCGTACGTGTGGGCGAGATGGAGCGTGATGGGTTGCTCTCGCACGGCAGTGCTGAGGTGGTCGTGGACCGTCTCTTGCACGTTTCCGACAAGACAAAGGCCTTTATATGTGTGGAGTGCGGTTCCCTCCTCTCTATATACGAGCGACACGCGACGGAGTATTCAACGTGGAAGACGTGCAATTTTTGTGGTGCCGGGTCGCAAGAGACGACCGACACGATTGCGTTTGTGGAGATTCCGCAGGTGCTGCGCCTGTGGGCTGCCGAGCTTACGAGCATCGGCATACGCATCGTGCTGAAGACGAGCGACGGGGCTGCGTGAAGTCGGGGGATGAAGCGAGCTGGGTGAAACGCACGAGGGGAAGACAGACGGGCAGTTGCAACAATGAAATGAATTCATAACGTTTAAAATCCAAAGTGCATGAATTAATAACGAAGACAAAAATTGGAGAACTAAAAGAAAAAAAAAAGAAAAGAGACATGACGAAAAAAAAAAAAAGACATGCGGAAGGCGCGCAGCAGGAAGAGTAAGTAGCGAAGAAGCCAACGAAGGAATGGAAAGGGAGAAAGAGAGGGATAACAAAATAAAAAAAAAAGAGAATTTTATTCCCTGAAACTTTTTTCCCCCTTTATCTCTTTCTTTGCATGCATGTGTGTGTTCTCGGATTAAGTGGTGTTTGTCCGACTTCTTCCATGTATGCCATAACCGCAACGGGGGGAAACGTTTATTTTTTCCCACTTTTTCCCATCAATAACCAAGGTTGTACTGCTCACGCGTTCGTTTTTTTTTTTTGTGTGTGTGTCCTTCGTCTTTTGGTGAAAGTAACGACTGGAAAGGGGGAAATGCTCAATCGACGGCGAGCGGGAACAGTAACATCAAACTCCGAATTTGTCGTTGTAGAACGACGTCTTGCTGCATTCGCACCGCACCATCTGCCTGCTCTGCTTGCGGGACTCAAGGCCGATGAGGGGGAGGATGTAGTTCCCGCGGAGCTTTCTCTCGCAGAGCGCCCCACACGTCCAAAGTCAAAGTCAACGCAGGTGATTCTCCTTCTTTGCTTGAATATTGGCAGTGACCCACCGGACTACCCACGGATCGAGCCGTGCTCGCGACTGGAGTGCTGGATTGACCCACACGTGGCGCAGATTTCCCGATTTTCTTCAGAGGGCGGCGCTGACTCCATCGCGGAAAGATTGGAGCGGCAGTACCGCGCCCAACAGCGGGACGCCACCTTCAAGCGGGCGGTGGATGCGCATTTGGAGGAGGCCAAACATCTCATGATGACGTTCCGCCGGAAGGCTGACAATGGTAGGGTGTTGTTGCACTACAATGGGCATGGCATGCCCCGAGCGACGGACTATGGTGAGATTTGGTTTTTTGACAAGGACCGAACGCACTACGTGCCTATGAACATTGTGGAAATATCACGGCTGATAGACTCGCCCACGCTCTTCGTTTTTGATTGCAACTCTGCCGGCTCTATCCTGCAACACTGGTACAAGCAACGTCTGCATCAAATCCGGCCCCATGACATATTTTTTTGTGCATGTAGTGCGGGAAGTTTTCTTCCGCTGAATCCGCAACTTCCAGCTGATGTTTTGACTTCCTGTCTTACGACGCCACTGCAAATGGCGCTAGAATGGTATATTAATTTTTCGCATCGTAGGCATTTGCTACCAAATGTGACAGCCGAAATGATACACAACGTACCAGGCGAACTCTCCGAACGAAAATCGCCTCTAGGAGAACTTTATTGGATTCTTATTGCTGTGACTGACACCGTTGCATGGTGTACGACGCCTCCGGCTCAGTTTTACAAGTTGTTTAGGCAGGATACAATGACCAAAGCCCTTTTTAGAAGTTTTTTATTGGCAGATCGTATCTTGCGTGAAGTGGGATGTGTTCCTGTGGCACATCCCCCCATTGCATCACAGGCGCATTTGCATCATATCTGGGATCTCTGGGAGTACACCTTGGAGCAAGTCGTTTGCCAATTACCGGAGCTTCTGACCTCGGAGCTCACGGTGAACCCAAGCTACACCTACAAGTCCTCCACCTTTTTTGTAGATCAGTTAATGGCCTTTAAAGTATGGGTGGAATCTGGAGATTTGCGAGAGCAACCTGAAGAACTTCCAAGTGTCCTTTTGGCTCTCACGCAGATTTCCTACCGAGTACAGGCACTAACACTGCTGGTGCGCTACTTGGATTCGGGCGTAAGTGCCGGAAGACGTGCGATTTTCTGTGGGATATTGCCGTACGCCAGCAAACTTCTTGTCCAGACACCCGAGGTGTTTTTAATTGTGAGTGTTTTATGGATGCAGTTGACTCGAGCCTCCACCCGTGAAGGAACGGAGGAACTGCTTCAATCACGATTAGAAAAGTATTTTATTCGTGTTTTGCAATTGGATGAAAAGAACACAAACGTGGTAACTGTAGGAGATGATGAGACGGCGACAACTTCTTTGAGTGACGGTAATTGTTGTTCTTCCAATAATGCAACAAAGCTATTGATGGTTTTCCCTGAGAGTGGAACAGGCCCTGCAGCCGTGTCTAACGGGGATACAAAGTATTACCTTATGAAGGAGCTGGATTTACATCGATGTAAAGCGATGGCTTGCTACGTGCTCTGTCAATGGATGAAATGCGGAGGTGAGCAGCAGTACGTGGCATGTTGGAATAATCAATTGTTAAATGCTGCCTTTTCTCTTTTGGAGTCGCCGAATGCTGAGGTTCGTTCTTGGTCCTGCTTAGTGCTTGCCCAGCTATTTTTGGGCCTGAGGCATGCAAAGGAATTTGCCTCCATGGAATGCACTACTCGCTTGGACCTTTTCACGTATCTGCTACAGGATAAATCTCCCATCGTGCGCAGCTCCTGTGTAACGTTGTTAGCATCTCTAGTGGGGGTTCAGGTTGACGCACTCTCTGTGGAGTCCCAGATCCGCCGTGTACAGATGGAAAAATCACTGCTTATTAAACTTCGAGGCTTTATTTTTGAAGCGAGTATGAGTGTTCGCGAGGAGTTGATATTTTTTGCTTGTCAGGTGCTGTTTCACTATGGGAGCTTGTTGTCTACATTGCAGTCCAACACCTCTGCAACTCGATACATGGATTACATTCAGGAGGTTGGTAAGTACTCCCCAAAGTGGATGGTGGATGAGCTGGATGTGCAGGTCACGTCGCAGTTAAATGCCTCACGACCCACAAGCAACACTCGTTTTGTGCAGGCTGTGATGTTTACGACAGAATTTCTCTCAAGAGATGACCCCGCCCCCTCTGCCTCGGGGTTCTGTCGGGACACCATTGACCCCAAGGTGTTGAAGGTGCTCTGCGAGATGGTCCATGATGCGGCGTTGATGTTGTACACACTTTACCACACCTGCGACACAAATAAGGTGGTGGAGGCTATAAAAGCGCTGACGTCTCAACAGCCACCGCAATTGCATCGGCTTGAAAATGAGTCTCTGCGAAGCATGTCTCGTGTTGTCTCAACCGACTCCTCACATTTTTTGTCCGAGGCGGATCGAGCACGTTCAACAAGGAATGCCGATAACATGCGGCAGTTGGTGCTGGAAATGCAGGACCGAAGACTGGAACCAAGGGCTGACCTTGGTAATAAAAACAGATCCTCAAAGGCGGAGGATAATGGGACGTATAGAGGAAACGGTGCCGTCTCCACTTCGGCCATCACGCGCCATCAGGTGTTGCCAAGCCTGATTTCTGGAGATCAAATTATCTCAGCCACCTTCCGTGCCTTGGAACCTAATATGGTTTTAGCTACCAAGAATAGACATATTTACCACACCTCATATGAGACTTATAGTACCCAAACACGCATCTATGGGTTTGCTGTTTCTCTGCTTTCTCCGTTACAAGATGTGTTGGTGATTAATGACTTGTCTGAGCAGGCTGGGTTGCTACTTGTAACCAAGGAAGGAGGTTTTAGTCTTATTAAAGGGTGTTGGGGAGAGGGACATGGAGTGCCAACCGAGGTTGCCGCATTTTCTGCGTGTTCACCAAGGGGTTTTGTGGACATCAAGTCTGTCTATCGGTCTTACAATGCTAATCTCTTGTACGGAGGATCGATTGGTAGCAATGGTGGTACTGAGATTCACGTGCTTTCCTTGGATGAGGAACAAGTCATTCAACGATTAAGGGTTTCTGGGGATCCTACGCTTACCTCATTGACAGCAAACACAACAACGCGGGCAATTTTTGCGGGGTGCTCAGATGGTGCAGTTCGCTATTATGACGATCGCCAGAAACAAGGGTTTCTCGGCGTTGTAGGTATGTTTAACTGTAAAGGGGTTTTGTCCTCGGTTTCCTTCCCCACTGCCGCCGCCTCTGCTGATGCCGTTGTTGGCGCAGGACCCGTGGAAACAGGAGCCGGGGTCTTGATGGTTGCCGCAGCAACTCGCAGTGCTGTGTATATCTACGACAGCCGAAAATTCACCGAACCTTCGCTTGTGGTGGATATTTTTTCGCTTTGTGGCGGTCATGGCGGGTGGCCTTCTGTGAGTAGATCGTCTTCTATTTTGGCCTTTGCGACAGGCGTGCACACAGGGTTGTTGGGAGCTCTTCTCTCCGATGGCACCTATCTTGCCATGAATGCGCGGGGGCGAGCACTGTTGGAGAAACCAATCAAAGTTTCGAACACGCAGGGGCCACCGTTGCCAGGAAGCTGTGTAGTGCATCCATTGCGGCCCTTTATGTCGGTGGGAGGGGAGATCATGTACATGCATTGAGGATTGCTGGTAATGGGGACGCCGATGCGGAGGATGCTACTAGTGGTCCTGCCGGACACGGGCAGAGGATAACGTATCACAGGCTGTCGATGTCGAACATCGTATTTGCCTCGTTTTTTTTTTGTGGGTTTTTGACTTTTTGAATGAGAAAGTAATACATTTTTTTCCCCTTTAAGGTGTTCTTGCTGTGCTGTGTGGTGGGTGTTGTTGTGTCGCTCCTTGTGCCGTGTGGAGTACAAAGTGCAACAGAATGAAGCTGCTGTGACAGCTGTGCGTCTCTTCCACGCTGCCTTCTCACCCATGCCAGTCAAGTTGCGGAAATGGACTATGTTGTCCTCACTCCCACTGAACTCATCTTGTGGAGAGAGAAGACGGGGCCGACGATACGCAAGGTGACGGATTTGCTGCTGCGAGGAGGCGCTATTGGGTTTCTGGAGATGGAGCGAAACCTGCAAGTGGGCTCGGAGGTGAAAGGCAAACTCTCCTCGGGTAAAAGGCGCGTTAACCCTGTGCTGTTTAAGTCTATTATGAGCAAATCTGGGGTACTGTTGACCCCGGATGAGTATAGAAATCTTCGGACGGCCTACTCGGATGAGGGAGGTTTTCTCGTAGATGCGTTCCTCGAGCTTGTCTGCCCCTTGCGAAGCCTTGGAGCTCGTGAGGCGGACATTCTGCGAGACATGTGTGCGGATGGCATGGGTGCCGCTACTTCCACGTTTGCCTTGGATGATGTGGTGCACACGCTTGAGAACGTACTTTCGCCGGGCGATACCGCCACCGCGGGCGAAAGCGGTGATACGGCACCGTTTTTTGCATCTGTGCTGATGGAACTACAGATGGTCTTCACCCCTTTGCGGTACCCCAAAGGTTTTGTTCCGCCGCAGGACGTGATGAATGCCTTTGCCGCCGTACTTCTCAACAGTGCGGGTGCCGGAGAGTCACTCTTGAAGTGCCTTGCCACGGTGAAGCTGCCCCCCGCATCCTTATTGCCTGCTTCACCTGAGCAGTCTCCCCATGTTACGGCGTCGAGCAACGCAAGTCGGCAGCCGCGCGGGTACGACTACTACACCGACCGCGATAACCGAGATGAATGGATCTGCGGGAGAGAGGAGGCTCCACCGCGGCCGATGTATCAGCGCCACCTTCCCGGTTATGGGGGACACCTGCCCACGTACATCAGTAAATTTGGCCGGTCGTTTCATCCGATTGAGGAGTCCATGCCGGAGCTCTCACGTCCGAAGGCCCAGCCGGGGCTGGTACCTGCCGATCGCTACGGTCCTCCAGTGGAGTTAAAGGGCACCTGGTTAAATCGGCACCACTTTAAGCTGGCCTAGTTGGAGCAGGGACTGCAGCGGGGTGAGAGGAAGATGCGTATGTAAATTTTTTATTTTATTTTTGAATTAGCTACGGCACAGAAAAAGAAAGTATCAAGTGCAACACTGGCAACAAAGAAAACAAGGAAAAGAAGGGCAAAAATACTGCCAAGCACGTGAGGGGCAACCAACATTTGACCCCTCTCCACTGTGAATATCTCTTGAGTCTGAGGGAGAGGACAAGCACGAAGTTAAAAAAAAAAAGAAAAGAAATGTGTCGATATATCTTTGTTTTATCTTTGCTTTCTTTTTAACTTTGTCTCATCCCCTTCATGATTTACATGCGAAACTGCCAGGGGATTCACAAAACTTTACACTTCAAAAAGGGACACCACGCCGGTATGCGGCCTCTGTCAAGTGGTTCGGTGACGCACATGACACTAGCTCCTTTATGGGTGCGGTGACGGGACTCTTTCTTCGCTTCTGTGGTATTGCATGTATCAATTTGTCGTTTTGTGGCAACATTTTGGGAAAGGTGAACACGGAAAACGATCTTTACATTCCTCTGGCGGTGCTTCAGACAAAAGTGCGCGATCCAAAAAATGGATGGTTTTGTTGATAGTTTGGGTGCGGTGGAGCATATTGACGCCATGCAGCGACGACGGTAATGACGAGGGGATGCGCAGGGGCGGGGAATGGAATTGTTTATTGTTTTTTTGTTGCACAGCTGAGCTAACATGGCCTTGCGGTGTGTACATTTTATTTGCGGCAGCAGCATTCAGAGTTGTTGTTGGATCCTTTCTTCTCTCCCCCTCTGTGAGGGTATGCGCGGGTGTATTCTTGCGTTTCATTACCGCTCTTTGTTTGTTGGTTTGTTTTCGTGGGCCTTTAAGATTCCACCTAGTGACGCCTTGCAGTTTAATTTGTATTTTGTGTGGCTGTTGTACATTTTCTTTGTGAATTATTTTATTGTGTTTTTACTCTTGTTTTATTCTTTTTTTTAAAGAATAATTTGTTTTTATCCATGTATGTATATATATATCTTTGCCTTTTTTTTATCTCTTTATGTTGTTTGCTCGTACCGCCCGTCGAGTGTAAGTGACAGACCCAACAGGTTAATCCATTGCTTCATGTCAGCCAAAGCTCCTCCAAAGACGCTCCACCAGGTGCGGAACGTGGCGTACATCTTTGCCGCATGGGCAGGCCTCCAAAGGGGGTTCGCAGAGAAGTCTGCCAATGATAAGCTGTGGTTGGAGCATCAGCGACGGGTACGTCAAGAGAAGGTGGAGCGACAGCATGCAGCACATGCTCTTGAGGACTTGAATAATAATGGGGAGCTGGAGAGGGCCATTCCCGCCATCGTGCCCAAGGAGCTTCAGGGGCTTGTTAAGGCGCTTAAACAGTAGGTGCTGGTGAATCAGTCTCATTTCGCCTCTCTCGTTCTGTGTTTGTGTACTGGGGAGATGTTGTGCAGGAAAGGATACCAGCTAGGTGTTTATTTTTATTTTAGGTAGCAGTTTGAGTCCCTGCAGGGGCGTGTGTGTGTGGGAGAGTGAAAATGGAGAGTTGAAAACTGAGTTGTAATGCGATGCTTCGGCGGTTTCAGGAAATCCGTTGTTGCTCCCCATTTACTGGTCTATAACTCGAGGAAAGCGGGGTTAAAGTGACGCGTGTGTGTGTGTGGTGGGGG